TTCTTTTGAAAATGTCTGTTCATGCCCTTTGCCCACTTTTTTTAAAATTTCACATTCTGTTTTCATGACATTAGGTTTGGAGAGGGAAAGGAATCATGAGTATATGCAACTGTGCTATTTCCAATATCACAGCTGGATACAAATCCAAGTTCAAATTGTCTTTTAAATTCAGGACCTGGTTCCCAGTCAGCAGAGGTGGAGCACTGCTGCTGGAAAGTGGGGTCTGAGAAGACATGTTCCTCCCAGTGCTGGTCCAGTGTCTACTGCAGGGCCTCGCCCTAAGGACCAGGATAGGATTTGCTCTTGGGCCTCTGAGTGGCCTGGAACAGTCCTGTTAAGTCCTATAAGCTCAGCAGCATCTGGAGACACTGTCGCCAGCTCTTCTTCCTGTAATTGTGATATTATATCTCAATCAGATCCTGGATTTGTGACTTGTTGTGCTTGAAATTTGATATTTCACATACCAGCAAGAGGCCTGGAGCTTCTCACAACCAGCTCAGGGTTGCCATGGTTATGCTTGCCCCTTTGGACCACTTTGTAATGAGGTTATTTGTGAGAGGTTTTTGTTGTTGTTATTGAGTTGTTTCAGTTTGTAGTAGCAAATTCTGGATATTAGTCCCTTGTCAGATGTGTGGTTTGCAAATATTTATTCACATTCACATTCTGCAGATTGTCTGTTCATTCTGTAGATTTTTTTTTTTTTTTTTTTTTGAGACAGAGGCTCTCTGTCACCTAGGCTGGAGTGCAGTGGCATGATCTTGGCTCACTACAAGCTTCACCTCCCAGGTTCAAGTGATTCTTGTGCCTCAGTCTCCCAAGTAGCTGAAATTACAGGCTTCTGCCACCACACCCAGCTAATTTTTGCATTTTTAGTAGAGACAGGGTTCTCCCATGTTGTTCAGGCTTGAACTCCTGACCTCAAGTGATTAGCCCGCCTTAGCCTCCCAAAGTACTGGACCACCACACCTGGCCAATTATTTATTTTGCTGTGCAGAAGCTTTTTAGTTCAATTAAGTCCCATTTGTCTATTCTGATGTCCTAGTCACAAATTCTTTACATAAGCCAATTTTTTTAGTTAATTTTTGTATATGTTGTGAAGAGTCCAACTTCGCACATCTGCAGGTGAATATCCAGTTGTCCCAGCACCATTTATTGAAAATGTTATTCTTTCCCTATTGAATTATTTGGACATTCTTGTCAATTGATCAAATATGTAAGAGTCTATTTCTAGATTCTTACTTCTGGTATATATGTCTAGCCTTATACTAGTAACATACTATCTTGATTACTGTTGCCCTGTAGTAGGTTTTGAAATTGGTGTGCATGAGTCCTCCAAATTTATTCCCCCTCTTCAAGATTGTTTTAGCTATTCTGGGTCTCTTGAAATTTCCATATGAATTTTAAGATCAGCTTGCCAATTTCTGCAAAAAAGGCTGCTGGAATTTTTATAGAGACTATTTTGAAACTGTATATCTATGGAACATTGCCATCTTAACAATACTAAGCCTTCCAATCCATGAGCACAAGATGTATTTTCATTTATTTAGATCTTTAATTTCTTTCAATGATGTTTTATAGTTTTTCAATGTACAAAATTTATACTACCTTTGTTAAATTTCTTCCTAAATAGGTGTTCTATTTGGTGTCATTATAAATGAAGTTATTTTCTTTTTTTCATTGTTGGATGTTGCTAGGGAATTGAAATAAAGCTTTTTAATATATTGATCTTATATCTACATCCTTACTGAATTCATTTACTAGTTTAATAATTTGTACATGTGTGTGGCAGTGGTGGGAGAGGACACCTTAGGATTTTCTATATTTAAGATTATGTCACTGTGATTAGAGATATTTTTCACTTCTTTCTTTCCAATTTGGATGCCTTTTGTTCCTTTTTCTTGCTTAATTTCCCTAACTAGAACCTCCAGTACAATATTGAATAAAAGTGTCAAGAGCAGACATCCTTGACTTGTTTCTGATCTTAAGGAGAATTATTTCAATGTTTAGTCATTGAATATGTTGTTAACTGTGATTTTTTTTTTTTTTTTTTTTTTGAGATGGAGTCTTGCTCTGTCGCCAGACTGGAGTGCAGTGGCGCAATCTCAGCTCACTGCAACCTCCGCCTCCTGGGTTCAAGCGATACTTCCGCCTCAGCGTCCCGAGTAGCTGGGACTACAGGTGCACGCCACCACACCCGGCTAATTTTTGTATTTTTAGAGAAGGGGTTTCATCATGGCGAGGATGTTCTCGATCTCTTGACCTCGTGATCCACCCGCCTCGGCCTCCCAAAGTGCTGGGATTACAGGAACTGTGAATTTTTTTGTAGGTATAAGTAGAAGGTTATGTTATTGTTTTGAGGTTCTGTTTCTTTTTTCATACGGGTATTTTACAGCTATAAATTTTCCTCTAAGCATTCTGTGCTGCATTCCATAAATTTTGGTATGTTGCATTTTTGTGTTCATTCATCTCAAAGTATTTTCTAGTTTTCCTTGGGATTTATTTGACTCACTCATGATTTAGGAGTATGTTGTTTAATTTCCACATATTTGTGAATTTTCCAAATTTCCTTCTGTTTTTGATTTCTAATTTCATTCCATCATGGCCAGAGACTATAAGTCAAAGGATGTTAATCCTTTTAAATGCGTTTTGGCTTGTTTTATGGCCTAGTACATGTTTTGTGCTAGAAAATAATCCAGATGTGCTTGAGAAGGATGTGTATTGTGTTGCTGAGTAAAGTGTTCTACAGATGTCTGTTAGGTTGAGTTTTCACAAACTATACAATACACAAGTAATATTGTTCAAGTCTTTTATTCCCTTGTTAATCTTCTGTCTGATTGTGCTACCCATTATTGAAATTGGTGCATTAAAGTCTCTGACTATAATTATTCAATTTTCTGTATCTTTCCTCAAATTTGTCCGTTTTTACTTCATACACTTTGGATATATGCTGTGAGTTGGATATCTGCATTTTCTGTTTGCTGAATCATTTGGAATTAAGTTTCAGACATAGTGACACTTTACCTCCAAGTACTTTAGCATGCATCTCCTAAGAACAAGGACTTATCCATCAAAACCACAGTACTATCACCACACCTAAGAAAAATTAACAATAATTCCACATAAGTGGGATAACTACTTCATATTCAAATTTCCCCAAGGTTGTTTTTACAGGTGTAATTACTTTTTTATTTACCCAGCTGAGGGTTCAGTCAAGGTTTCCATTTTATAATGGTTTTTTTAAAGTGTTTCCTAATAAGCACCTTCAACAAAAAATAAAAGCTTATTTTCTTCATCTGATTGAGCAACTGCTGTCTCAAACCAATAAACCAACATTGTAGAGATGGGTTGAGGATTAAATAATAAATAATACATTTATAAATATGGAAGAGCTATAGATGAATATGCATATAAAACCATATATCCTTTCTGGGGAAGGGTTTTCTAATATGGCAACAAAGAAAAATATGGAATTATTTGTCTATTATACAATTATATACTATTAAAGTAAAAATATCTGTGTGGCAAAAAAGGCCATGAACAATGATAAAAAACAAATGGCCACCCTGGATCCACATTAATCATGGCCAGAGAAACAGTCACGTAATACAACCTTGAACTATGACGACTAGACTGCCTGTATGAAAGGGGTGAGAGCCCAGAAAAGAGAGAATCTGAAGCCCAGCACCTGTCCCAAGAATAACTACTACAAACTCCACAGTAATTACAGATAGTGGACATTTATTTCAGAGTCTGGCAGTATCTTGAGTATCATTCTTAATTTTAATATTGATGCAAGATTTCATATTTTCTCTTTTTAGGGTATATATTGCAAGAAATTGAGAAAATACACTGTTGGCATCTGGCTATCACTCATTTTTTTTTAACTGAAAGGCATAAAATTTTTATTTTATTTTATTTTATTGAGAAAGGGTTTCACTCTATCACCCAGGCCAGAGTGCAATCACAGCTCATGCAGCCTTGATCTCCTGGGCTCAAGCTATCCTCCTGCCTCAGCCTCTAGAGTAGCCAGGACTACAGGAGCATACCACCATGCCAGGCTAATTTATTTTTTATTTTTTTATTAGAGAAGAGGTTTTGCTGTGTTCTGCAAGCTGGTCTTGAACTTCTGGGCTCAGGTGATCCTCTTGCCTCGGCTTCCCAAGGTACTGGGATTACAGGCATGAGCCGCTGCGCCTGGCCTATTATCTATTTTTACCAAAGCTATATATGTAATCACATATAATCAAAAACAGTATTGCTATTGTTATTTTGAACAAATTATTATGTGTTAGATCAATTAAGGCTAAGAAAAATAAAATATTTTATTTTGCCCTAATTTACTCATTCTCTGGTGCATTGCCTTTCTTTGTGTAGATCCAGGTTTCTGACCTTGATTATTCTCCTTCTCACTAAAGAACTTCCGTTAATGTTTCTTTCGAGGCAGGCCTACCAGCAACAATTTCTCTCATTTTTTTTTTTTTTGTTTGTTTGTTTGTTTGTATGAGAAAGGCTTTATTTCTCCTTCATCTTTAAAGGATAATTTCACAGGGCATAGAATTTTAAGTTGGTAGAGTTTTTTCCCCTTACCACGTTAAGTATTTGATTCCACTTATTTACACGGTTTCCATGGAAAAGTCAGCTGTAATTCTTAACTTTGCTCTTCTATAGGTAAGATGTTTCTTTCCTCTGTCTTCTTTCGGGACTTTATCTTTAGTTTTCTGAAGCTTGAAAATGATATGCCCTAGGTGTCAGGGTGTTTGTTTGTTTGTTCGTTCATTCATTTGTTTTGGCATTTTTCCTACTTCATGTTCTCTCCGAGCTTCCTGGATCTGCAGTCTGGTGTCTGATAAGCGTTTGGGAAAATTCTCAGTCATTATTGCTTTAAATATTTCTTCTGTTATTTTTCTTTTCTCTTCATATGTCACACATTTTGTAGTTATCCGATAGTTCTCATATTCTATTCTGGGATTTTTCAGGTGTTTCTTCTTTTTGCTTTTCAGTCTTCGAAGTTTCTATTGATCTATCTTCAAGTTCCAAGACTTTCTTCAGCCACATCCAGTCTCCTGACGAGCCCATTAAAGGCAGTCTTCATTTCTGTTACAGTGTTTTTGAGCTCTGGCTTTTTTTTATTTTTTATTTATTTTGAGACAGAGTCTTCTTGCTCTGTCGCCAGGCGCCAGGCTGGAGTGCAGTGGCGCGATCTCGGCTCACTGCAACCTCCACCTCCCGGGTTCAAGCAGTTCTCCTGCCTAAGCCTAAGTAGGATTACAGGCAAGCACCACCATGCCCAGCTAGTTTTTTGTATTTTTAGTAGAGACAAGGTTTCACCATGTTGGCCAGGATGATCTCGATCTCTTGACCTCGTGATCCACCTGCCTCGGCTTCCCAAAGTGCTGGGATTACAGGCGTGAGCCACCGCGCCCGGCCACTCTAGCATTTTTTAAGTTCTTTCTTAGAATTTCCATCTCTGGCCCTGCCTGCCGCACCTCTCCTTTCTTCTGTATCTCCAGCTGAAGCCGCACGCCCGGCCGGGATCCCGGCACCATGAGCTTCGGCTCGGAGCACTACCTGTTCTCCTCCTCCTCCTACCGCAAGGTGTTCAGGGACGGCTCCCGCCTGTCCGCGCGCCCCTCCGGGACCAGCGGCGCGGGCGGCTTCCGATCGCAGTCCCTGTCCCACAGCAATGTGGTCTCCTCGACCGCCTGCTCCTCGGCCTCGTCGCTCGGCCTCGGCCTGGGCTATCTCCGGCCACTGGCATCCGACGGGCTGGACCTGAGCCAGGCGGTGGCGCGCACCAACGAGTACAAGATCATCCGCACTAACAAGAAGGAGCAGCTGCAGGGACTCAACGACCACTTCGCGGTGTTCATCGAGAAGGTGCATCAGCGGGAGACGCAGAACCGCGCACTGGAGGCCGGGCTGGCTGCGCTGCGGCAGCGCCACACCGAGCCGAGCCGTCGCGCGCGGTGAGCTCTTCCAGCTCTTCCTGGAGGAGGCGAGCTCGGCGCGCGTGCAGGCCCTGCTGGAGCGCGACGGGCAGGCCGAGGAGGTGCAGCAGCTGCCGGCGCGCTGCGAGGAGGAGAGCCGCGGTCGCGAAGGTGCTGAGCGCGCCCTGAAGGCGCAACAGCGCGACGTGGACGGCGCCACGCTGGTCCGCCTGCATCTGGAGAAGAAGGTGGAGTCGCTGCTGGACGAGCTGGCCTTCGTGCGCCAGGTGCACGACGAGGAGGTAGCCGAGCTGCTGGCCCCGCTGCAGGCGTCGTCACAGGCCGCGGCCGAGGTGGACGTGGCTGTGGATAAACCAGACCTGAGCTGGCGCTGAGGGAGATCCGCGCCCAATATGAGTCCCTGGCTGCTAAGAACCTGCAGTCCGCGGAGGAATGGCATAAGTCCAAGTTTGCCAACCTGAACGAGCAGGCGGCTCGCGGCTCCCAGGCCATTCGAGCCAGCCGCGAGGAGATCCGAGAATACCGGCGCCAGCTGCAGGGGCGCACCATCGAGATCGAGGGCCTGCGCGGGGCCAGCGAGTCCTTGGAGAGGCAGATCCTGGAACTGGAGGAGCGTCACAATGCCAAGGTGGCTGGCTACCAGGATAGCATTGGGCAGCTAGAGAATGATCTGAGGAACACCAAGAGTGAGATGGCACGCCACCTTCGGGAATACCAGGACTTGCTCAATGTCAAAACGGCTCTTGACATTGAGATAGCAGCTTACAGGAAACTGCTGGAAGGCGAAGAGACACATTTTAGCACCAGTGGGTTGAGCATTTCGGGGCTGAATCCACTTCCCAATCCAAGTTATCTGCTCCCATCTAGAATCCTCAGTTCAACCTCCAAAGTCTTATCCACTAGGCTATCACTTAAGAAAGAGGAAGAGGAGGAGGCATCTAAGGTAGCCTCTAAGAAAACCTCCCAGACGGGAAAGTTTTGAAGAAATATTAGAGGAGACGGTAATATCTACTAAGAAAACCGAGAAATCAGATATTGAAGAAACCACCATTTCGAGCCAAAAAATATAATTCCATTGCTTTGAAAGAGCTAATGCTTAAGAGGGAATGATATGCATTTGACTTGTTAAACAGCCTGTTCCTGAACCATAACACCTGCCACGCCACTATGAAATGTCTTCAAGGCTTCAGTCTCATATTTAGTATTGAATACTTACATTCTCTAATAAGAAAACCACCCCTTAGGTTGAAGTAAACTGCGGTTCTGGAGCCATCACAGAAGAGTTATCTAAGAATACAGCTTCCTGACCTTCAGCTCGCGCTTCACGGTGATTGATGATTCAGGTGCAGAGGAAGTACAAACTAAGGCGCTAAATCTGTGACCATCGTCATTTGCTGCGAACTGAAACTGTTCACACTACCCAGCCATTATCCAGCTAAATAATCTTACTCTATACCTAAAACGTAAGATCACTGCCAAAGACAAGCTAATGGTCCACACCCAGCTCCTCTCTGATAGAACTGTTTCACAAACAATAGGTGTTTGTTTAACGGACACTTTCCGCCTCCCTCAGTTCCATATATCCTTTTCTTCCATGCAGGAAAAAAAAAAAGTCTAGTGTAGTATTCTTCCCTTTTAAACACGTTTTGGTTCTTCTCAAAAGAACTTGCCCCTGTTAGCTCTCTTTGCTCAGTGGGTAAAATTAGATGCATGTTGACCATGTCTATGATTCGGGTAATGACTCCTCCCTGCCCATTTCATATTCTTTCAATCCTGTAGGTTAAAAAAAAATGGCAGTCATGAATTTTAAGGTTTCCCCCAACAAATAAAATAATGAAAAGAATCCCTAGACTTTAGGCTTTCAGCTTATACAAATCCATTTAATTAGGAGAAAAAAACTATTAAGGATGTAGCTTTTCACCTTTACTTTAGAAGCTCAGTAAATCGTTATTCCAAGCTGTGATTAAGCTGAACTTAGATTTAGTAGTATAAGCTAGAAGAAGTGAGTGTTTCTATGTGTGGAAAAAGCCAAGGTGTCATTTATGTGTCAGTTCATTTGTGGTGATATAGAATTAGCTTTTTCATGCCCTTACCCTTAGAATCCACTCATTGCCTTTCCCACTAGTCTAGGTCCTAAAGAGACCTTGCTTTCACTCTCATATGCCCTTTACAAGTACTAAGTATAGGATATTTTGTCACCAGAACACAATGCTATTGCCCCAAGGTAAAAGAAACCACTTCTGGTCGATCAATACCACCAGCAAATATAAAAAAGAAATCTTTCTCCTTTCTAAAAGACTTCCCCAACATCTACCCCACGGCTGCACAGTTGGTGGGGTCCTGCTGGAGACGAAGAGACACTCAGACCAGAGGAGGGGTGTGCATGCACCTACTCGCTTGCTAGTAAGTAAGTTCTGGACAGTCAGGTCTTCATCTGCCCATCTGTGTAGCATCTGCATTGCCCAGTCTTTCACTTGTGCCAAGGCTGATGCAGGATTTGTTCTCTGTCCAGCAGTCACTTCTGCCAGAGCTGAAGAGTTGCCCCGTCTCCCTTCCACGTCTCCTTTAAGAGCTCTGGTGATAAGGACAGGATGCTTTCTTATCCTAGCACATGCTTCAGTAGTTCAAGGAACTTGAAAGATGCTTTTCTCTTCCTTACCTTTACCCCATCACTATCTTTACTCCTCACACTTACTGTAAGACACTAGTGGCCAGGCGCGGTGGCTCAAGCCTGTAATCCCAGCACTTTGGGAGGCCAAGGCGGGTGGATCACGAGGTCAAGAGATCGAGACCATCCTGGTCAACATGGTGAAACCCCGTCTCTACTAAAGATACAAAAAATTAGCTGGGCATGGTGGCGTATGCCTGTAATCCCAGCTACTCAGGAGGCTGAGGCAGGAGAATTGCCTGAACCCAGGAGGCGGAGGTTGCGGTGAGCCGAGATCACGCCATTGCACTCCAGCCTGGGTAACAAGAGCAAAACTCCGTCTCAAAAAAAAAAAAAAAAAGACATTAATAAAATAAGAAATTAAAAGGCACACGAATCCCACCGGAAAAAAAAAAAGAATTTCCATCTCTGTGCTTATATATGATCCATCTATTATTTTAATCAAAATTATACATACACAGAGGTACCTGGTGACACCAATTTTTTTGCCATAATTTCCCTTTCACATTGTGTAACTTGGTCCTGAATTGGAGATTGCTCTCCAATCAGAGTGCAGAATTATGCATGTAAAAGAGTTTACATGCATAATGTCAGATTCTATCATTTTCAAGAAACTTCAGAATGTGAGAATAGTGAGAGAGTTTGTTCTCATTCTAGCCAAGAAAGAAATGATACTTAATATCAACACTAAAAACTGAATACAAAGCACCAAGCAATTTAGAGAATTTTATTACTTTTATACATGAAAATGTGCTGCTTTATTAGTTCTTTCTTACCACTCTTTTCATGAATTATATCGGAATCCTATATCCTATTATTGGCCATCTGGATAAAATTATAATAAAAAGAATCATGGATGAAGGGCCATGCACATTTTTATTTCTGTATCTACCTTTAAATGTATTAATATTATGGACTTGCAGAGATTTGAGGTAATATTAAATTACCCTTATGGACAAAACCCTAAGCCTCCACTACTTTGCCATGATAGAAAAGGCCACAGAGCACTTTGGAAAACATACTTTTATCTCCATTACCTCAGCCAAATGTGAAGTGTGGCAAACATCCTCTACCTGTCAGCCTCTCTCTCCACTTATAATGCTCCTGTCTTCTAAATATGCTACGCTTTCAACTTGGGTGTGAGTGTCAATGGTCTGGAGTCATAACTTCTGGGAGCGGGTCTGCTTTTGGTCAGCTCTGCTTCTCGCAAGATTTTATGAGCTTGGTTCTCTTCAACTCTAATAGTAGATCAGCTAACAAGTGCTCCAGCCGTAAAGATGAAATCCTCTTCCTTCTTACACTCTCTTATAATCTATGAAGAATTGAAATACCTGGTGATGCTCTGCTGCTACCACAATAGCTAGACCCATCTTTTTGTTCTGTTATTAGTTGACTCCTCTATTCCAGTCCATTCTGGGCCTGTTTTCATTAAGCTTTCCTTATATAATATGAGGAAACTGAGAAGTGTGGTTTCTCAGTCTCATTATCAGCACTCTTGACATCTGTGGCTGTAAAATTCTTTACGTAGGGCTGCCCTGTGCATCATAGCATCTCTGATCTCTACCCACTAGGTGCCAGTACCACTCCCCCAACTTCCACTGCGACAACCAAAAATGTCTCCAGACATTGCCAAACGTCCCCAGGGAGTGGGGGGTAAAAATATCCCCAAACCCCAATTGAGAACCACTGTTGTAAAGAAAACTTGAATGTTACAATGTATATAAAGGGGACTCACAAACTCTGCAGTTTAGGAATTATTATATTTTTTAATGTTGTGCTTTTCCCAATGTGTTGTAGAAGAATATGAGATAAAATATCGGCAAAGAGTGAAAAATGGTGCTTAGAGTGTATTCCAGTTTACTGTCTGTACGAAAGTTGCCTTGTGAGAGAAGACAGAGAATCCCTAAGGGTGCCTCAGAAGAGGTTTCTGTAGCTGGTCATGTATCAATTAAGTTGGCCGTGGCACCCACATCATGATCACCTTACAGCTCATTCCTTGGGCAGGGGACTAGCCCCTTTGCTGCTTGCTATAAGAGGTGCTGAGCTTTTAACCCTATGTTCCCCACATGTGATAACCCACTGGGTGAGTTGCTGCCCATTGCCTCCCCATGAGACTTTGGACAGGGGAACCAGAATTACCATGCTGATGCTCCCACTGCATGCTGTGCTGTCTTGCCGTGATCCATTGAGTCTCTTTGCCTATTTTCACACCTCTGAAGTGGCAGCAAGCCAACCTGGTGGTGGCTTAGTCATGTCCTTGGCTTTCCTGTTACTCTCCATCATCCTCTATGAGGGAGGAGTTTCCCCTGATACTTGGCTAAGTTACTTAACTTCCCTTTGCCTTAGTTTCCACATTTAAATGGGGAGATAGTCCTTACATCTTGTGGTTGTATCACTGGAGCTAATGGACTAGCCTGACTGGTCGTTATGCCCAAACTAATGCCATGTTGCTTAGTTCTATTTTCTCCTCTATGTCCCTGTGTTCGTCTGTTCTCACATTAGCATAAAGAAATACCTGCGACAGGGAAACTTATAAAGAAAAAAGGTTTATTCGGCTCATGGTTTTGCAGTTTGTACAGGAAGCACAGTGGCTTCTGCTTCTGCGGAGGCCTCAGGAAGCTTCCAAGCATGATCCAAGGTAAAAGGGAGTAGGAGTCTCACATGGCAGGAGCAGGTGCAGGAGAAGGGAGAGCAGGAGGGGAGGTGCTGCTGCACACGTTTAAATGATCAGATCTCACGGGAACTCGCTCACTTGCTATTGTGAGGACAGTACTAAGAGGGATGGTGCGAAACCATTCCTGAGAAACGCACCTTCACGATCCAAACTCTATTAGTTCCTAACCTTTTTTTTTTTTGAGACGGAGTTTCGCTCTTGTTACCCCAGGCTGGAGCGCAATGGCACGATCTCGGCTCACCACAACCTCCGCCTCCTGGGTTCAAGCAATTCTCCTGCCTCAGCCTCCCAAGTAGCTGGGATTACAGGCACGCACCACCATGCCCAGCTAATTTTTTGTATCTTTAGTAGAGACGGGGTTTCACCATGTTGACCAGGATGGTCTCGATCTCTTGACCTCGTGATCCACCCGTCTTGGCCTCCCAAAGTGCTGGGATTACAGGCGTGAGCCACCGCGCCCCGCCCCAGTTCCTCACTTCTTAGGTTGCCTACTAAACTCCAAATCCTACCTTTCTTTCACAGTGAAATTTACTTTTCACTGTCATAGAATAGTTTCCAGTTCACAGTGCACATCATCCCACCATTTTTCTTGCCTTTCTTCTCGCTCAATCTCCCTACTCATTAACCTCCATCCTCCTTTGTAGGACAAATTCCTGCCTTTGTCTTTGGTGCCGTTGTTTGGAGATCAACTTTTGTTGTAACATGCCCCTAGTATTTCAGTTTTCACCTCAAGGTGAGTAAAATATTTTCATCTCATCAAATTCCCTCTACCACTGAAATTCCTGTTAATAAAAGTTTCTTTATCACCTTGCGTAATTCATTGTTCAATGAATATTTTCGTTCCAATAGTGGGTTAATATTTCGATATTCAACTGTGGTTTTCCTTCATTCCTCTTACTTATCTTTTCTTTCCCCACCATTCGAGGCGAGTTAGGGTTTTAGAAACACAGATACAAAGCTGATACAGAGAGAACAATTAAATCTTTAACTTGAAGCCCTTGAGAATAATTCTGTAAAGTCCATAGCAGAGAAAAAGGTCTTAAAAGTCATTGCTTTCAATTATTAGAGCCAGGGACTTAGAGAAATGTGTTATTTAAATCCCCAAAGTTGGACTTTAAATATCCAAAGCCAATCCCCAGAGGGCCAAGTACATAATATTTATACTAAAACCATGAAGAGAAATGTGTGATGTCCTAAGAGGCATGTTCTGTTCAGAAGAAGATCAAAGCTTGACCAGCAGGCAGGAAGGTGGGGATAAATGAGGGATGTGCTCATGGTTCCATCGCTGGTGGGACCCAGTGTTATCACTCCTTCCCCCAAGGCTAACCCTTTGCAGTAAGGCGAAATAAGCTCAGATGCATGCATCTGAGGCATTTCAGAGCAAAAAGAACTATTGTCTGCCTTTCCAGACAACCCAAGCAACTGTAACCCTCAGAGAGGACCCCTGAGTCCACCTGGGCGGTAGAACGACGATGAGGGCTGGACTGTTCACATCAGTTCTTCGGTGTGTGGTACTGGAAGGAGGTAGCACAGTGACTGATTGTTTGTTTGCTCCCAGACTGTTTTGCTTAGAAAAGGGCATGTTCACATGGACACAGAGAGGGGAGCATCACACACTGGGGTCTGTTAAAGGGTGGGGTTCTAGGGGAGGGATAGCAGGGGGTGAGGAGGTTGGGGAGGGATAACATTAGCAGAAATACCTAATGTAGGTGACGGGGGGATGGAGGCAGCAAACCACCATGGCATGTGTATACCTATGTAACAATCCTGCAGGATCTGCACCTGTACCCCAGAACTTAAAGCATAATAATATTTTTTTAAAAAAAGGAAAAGCGCATGTCCTAGTCAAGTAATAATTTTTTAAAACAATAAAATAAAAATGTGAAAAGAAAAAAAGTGGATATGAGAAATCCTAAGCTTAGCAGTAAGTTTCAAATGATACTCTCTAAAACTTTTATTTAAAGATGAATATTGGCTAGGTGCAGTGGCTCACACCTGTAATTCCAGCACTTTGAGAGGC